CACACACACACACACACACACACACACACACACACACACACACACACGCGCGCGCACACAAATACATACACATACACACATACATACACATACACACATACATACACATACATACATACATACACATACATACATACACATACATACACATACATACATACACATACATACATACACACATAATTAATTTAATTAATTCTATTATACGTCACACTTAATACTTATACAACCTATACAATACACATATGACGGCGAAAAATAATACAATGATGAATGAAACAAGAAGCATTACAAATCTTATATATATATATATATATATATATATATATATATATCCAAGTGAATACAACAAAAACGACGAAAAAAACTACTGTATAATTATTGTATAATTACCCTCTATAGAAAACAATATATTATAATTAATGTTTGAAATATATATATATATATATAAAAAGTTAAATGAAAGAAAAATAATTAAATAAATTTGTTCGCATTTGCTTTCGTCCAGTGCGACGTGGCTCACAATTTTTATCATTTACGTTCGTCTTTTTTAAACTCGTGTACATTGATCATATAACTGTTATTGCAGGCAATTGCATCGACTCGATCTACTTGCCTTTTGTTTTCCTTTCCCGTTACGGGATTTCGATCAAAATTAAAAATGATCCAAAAGCAAAATTATAAAATTCCAAATACTTATATGTGATTTGAAATGAAAGCAAATTGATTTGATTGGATGATGGCCTAAAACAACAGACATATAGTAAATGTGAACAGCAGGTTCAGAGAAGGAAACAACATAGTGACAAAGATTGTGTAAGCTATGCCGCCGTAGCGGAAAAAGCGATCATATATATATGCACACATACATAATAATAATAAAAACAGAGGAGACTGTCAAAATATATATGTTAAAGCAAAAATAAAAATAATTTATAAAGAATAAAGGGTAAAAAAAAAAAAACGTTTATATACATATACATCAATTATTGTTTAAAAATCAATGTAATAAATTTAAGAATACGCGAATATTTATTTCAATTTTTAAAAAATGATGGTACCTTCGAAATAAGAAAATTTAATAATTATAAATAAATTAAATTTAGAAGATATATATATATATATACATTTGCTAATGCAATATATAAACGAAAATTTATTTGCAAAAAAAGGAAGAAAAGTTTAATTTTATCTTAAAAAATTTAATTTAAATAATTATTGAAAAAATAGTGAAAATTTCAGAAAAATTGTCTTAAGAAAAAAGTAAAGAAAATGAAAAAACAGAAAAAGAGAAATAAATCTCATTGAAATTGTTTAAAAAAAAAATAGTAAAGTGTATAAATAAATAAATGGACGTATTTATTTTTATGAGTAAAAAATTGGAAAAAAAAAAATTATTGTATGTAAATTTAAATCAATTAATATGTATTTGTTAAGCCTAAAACTTATTAATCTTAAGCTGAAATCTCTTAATTATCAATAATGCTTTCCTTCATACGCTTTAACTGCCCTTAGAAAACATTTATCTGCGTTCTGATTAAAAACAATTGCTTTTTATATGAAAAATAATAAACAAATTTAATGTAACTTATAAAACTAGACATTTGGAACTGTGTTTTTATATGAAATAAGGATGTAGAAATTGAATTGATTTTTGAATTTATTTTTTTCTCATCACCAGGAATGGATTGATCAACTTTAGTTCAATCTGGCCATGTACGGAAAAAAACCAAAGCAAGGCCGACATTTTGAGTTCAGAATTGAGAAAAAATGAAAATCTTTCTAATTTATTGCTAATTGCAGGCGCATCACAAAAGTGATAAGAAAAAGGCTCGAGCAAGCGAACAAGCTTTGCAAGTATGAATAAAAGAAAAAAAAAAAAAGAAGATCCATTCAAAATTTTGTCTTTAAATCTGGAAATTAACGACTTTATTCCAAGTCGTTCTTATCGTTGATCAGCTTTTTTATAGAAACAATTAAGGCTTTAATAACGCGAATTTAAACGGCAATCTTTGTGGGATTGATGCGAATGAAAATATTCAAATTTGAGTAAAATTTCTCTTCACTCTTGAACAATATTTTGTTGGATATTTTATGAACATTATAAGATCATAAGATCATCTACAGAAAGTATATTATATTTTGTTAAAACTACGGGACTAATTATCTAATATTATTTTTTAAAACAGAGTCAACAGCATAGGTTGCTAATGCTCAACTTCGTTTCATTTAGTTTCGGAATTGATTTCATTAGTGTAAGAACAAAAAAAAAATAATAATAATAATAATAATAATAAATTTTATACCCTACACCACCTACGTGCTACAAGGGTACGCTAAGTTAGTGCGGATGTGTGAGAGAAACCATGGAAGGACTTGTGATAGAGTCATCATTTATTGTGTCGAGCGATTCAGAAAATGATTCCGTCTAAGCTGATTTGTTCACAGGTACCAAATTTTTGAGATATTTTCTTGAAATTTGGTAAATTGTATTGAGAATGGTTTGGATCGCGTCACTTTTTCGGCGACTTTCTATATAACGCGTTATATTGAAGCATCGTCGTATGAATAACAGTACTAAGCAAAGTTGTGTAGGGTATTCAAAGGTGAATCATAGCCTACCATAGCATTTTTATTAATTTTTATCATCACTTGACTATCCCAGGACCACAAAAACCCGTTCTTACAAGCGGTTACATATTCCACCTTACTCCACTTTATTTCTTCATGCGGAACGACAAAGAAAATCGAGAGCAAATTTTATAATTCTGTCGAGAAATTGATAATTAACATAATTTTATGAAAAATTGAAAGTGGTTTCTCCCCTCAAAACCGTTAATGTGGACCGACAGGGGGCCAAAGTCAATCCAAATAGGTCTATTAAGGCAAACAAGCCATAGCGATCATTATAGAATGCCAAATGCAGTTAAAATAGATGATTTCATTCAACAGGGTGCATACAATCACCCGACACATGACGAGACCAGGATATTCGCCATTCATCTCCCAAATGAAAGTACATTGGAAAGCTTTACAGGATATAGAACTTAAAAAGTGTAAACTTGTCTGTGATACTAAATTTGTGAAATTGTTCCCTTCAACTTGCACTTCCATACTAACAATTTACTCTGTGCCCATCAACCAAGTTACGATCCAGATCGTAACTTTAATATGGCTATGCTTAAGGTGCTTCAGCATATTCGTTTAGAGTACTTACTACAATCATTAACGGCAATAGCATACATAAGTACGCTACACCCCTTCTGGTACAAGGTATATTAAGTTAGTGCGGATGTATGTAACACGCGAAAGAGTTTAAGATAGATCCACCTTTTATTGTACCGATTGATTCAAAATCACCATCTGACTTGATCTGAGTCTATGCGCACGCATGCAACACCCAGAAGAACTTAAAATATACTCTACTTTCATCAAACCGAACGATTCAAAATTATTTTCTATCCAAGTTTTTATTTTCAATCTGTAAGTTGCAATATTTGAGAGATTTTCACGATATTTGGAGACACTGAAGTGTCTTGATCTAAAAATGAAAGCTGCTAAAAGTGGATTGAGTTAGATGAATTTCTCGACGCTCACCATATAATGTTTGATTTTCCATGCCATTAAATGAAAAAAAGTGCAAAGCACATAATTTCACTGTAAAAGTCGCTGACGATGGACAGGAAAAATTCGAGTCGAATGTTTCAACTTTTCAAATCATTTCATGTTTAAAAAGAATTGGAATAGTGGTAAGTCGTTATGTGGCGGAAGCAAACAATTCCGATATTTTATAATGAGAATTGATTCATAATAGAGTAATTTTTGGAAATCCACCTCACAAAAGGGATCTTATTGAAAGCAAGTCCAATGTGCAAGTGCTAGCAATTTATGACGGAAATTGGTGAGGAATCTTCAGGATCTTGAACAAAATTAATTGTACGAAATTTGGGTCAAGCCAGTTCACCCTTTTTCATATAAGGACCGCCCTAACAACTACCTGATTTCGTGGTTAATTTTCGGTACAATATCGCGAAAATAAATGACGGATGCAGGATATTTAATGCTCGGCCTTGCGGTTGTTATTTCCAAGTTTATGTGACTTTATTTGAAACTGATTTAAGATTTGTGTAGTTTGTATGTTCTCTATTGAATTTTTGTTCCTCGTGGTTCCATTTAATTAATATTACATTGCATTTGTGACAATTGTTTTAATTTTTTATTATCTAATTACATCGTTTTACATTTGTCTGTTTACATTTCTTTACCACGGAAAACCTATAAACCGATAAACTTATTCCATTTCAAATGTATAATGAACGCGACCTTCACCAGGATATTGTTTAGCTGCGACTGGCCGATACATCTTGTAATCATCTATACCGTAATACAGAATGAGGCAACCCGCCATAACACCCAAAAAGGATAGCCAATAACCACTGTTGGAAAAACGTGGCTGCGATGGTTGAGACCAGCGATCCTCGCTATAAAGATCGTAGTCAGCATGAATCTAACCGTACAAAATGAGAATTTGAATATTATGGAATGATCTCAATATTTTAAATATTTACCGTTTCACCAAAATTACGCTTCAGTTCCGGATAATCGTACGGGTAGTACGGATCGCGAGCCTCTACACCTAAACCGCCTGGCAATTCGGGATAATCGCCGTATCCCAAACCGTTGTCGGCGTAAGGTTTATATTCTTCAGGTAATAAATTATATTTCTTAGCAGCGATTGCCCGCTCTTCTTCTGTTTTAGGATAGGCTCCAGGTTTGTAGTCCTTATTCCATCCGGCCACTAGATAGCGTGCATGATTAGTTACGTAAACAATCAATTCGTATTATGAAATGTAAAGAAAAACTTACTTGTTCTGGCTGACTGACGCATTAATAATTGGTTACCTTTGCTAAGGTTTTCTACCAATTTCAACGTTTTCATTAAGCAAGCCATAATATATATATATATATATATATATATTGATCAGCAAATGTAAATAAAGTCAATTAAGATTCCAGCTGAGGAGAAATCCTCTTGGTAGAAAATCAATTTGACATTTTATGCTCATCTATTGTTTGTGTTTGTTTTGGTCTGCTCTTGAGTTGTCATAGAAAGTTGGCACACTTCTCTAATAAGTGTACACTGAGAAAATTTTCTTATACAAAATAAAAAAAAAATATATATATTTAACAGGGAAAGCTGATGGAAACTTTTCAAATATATATATATATATATATATTTTTTATTGGTTTAACACGTTCGCGGATAGTGAAAATTTCGGAGCTTTTTTTTTCTAATCCGATACTTGATTTGGGTTTTGTTTTACTTGGATGTATATATGCGAAACCGTATGATTTTTTCAAATCCCATAAGGTTTTTTAAGAAGTCGGTAAAGGTTGAGGTCCTAAGACGAAATAGGAATATCGCCTCATTGTGTTAGCCCCCTCGTGTAATTTCTTTTGCTTTATTTAAAAGCATCAGTGAGGTGTTGCTCCATACTCCTTAACTTAACCTATTTCCGTCAATATTTACTTAAATAATTAATCAAAAGTTTAATTCGTTATTATATTAATTTTGGTTATCATTGTTTTTTATATATTTGTTTCGATATATTTGCACTGATTTCTTTAATTTTCGTTTTAAAACACTTTGTTTCGTTTTTTAGCGAAAATAGTTTGAAACGAATGCGGGAGCTATGTGATTACCGCCTGTTACCGTTTATATGTTTCTATAAAACATTAGGGCAAAGCGGCTTCGCATTGTGTTTACCATTTGGGATTTTATAAACCGATATATATATAAGTAACGCTTTATTGTGTCGACTTCTTTATCTATTGATTTATCTTTCTATCTCTCTCTCTCTCTCTCTCTCTCTAAAACACTAACAGCTGTCTTTAGAAAGGGCATATTTTCATTTGACAGCGTTTCCAAGCATAGAATAGATTCGAGGCTGAAAACAATTCGAAAGCAGTCAGTGTTGCTTCCAATTAAAAACATTGATGAAAATTTTTTATATTAATTATGGATTCGTCTGCAGATTTGTACAATATGCACTGTCATTTCGCAACATGCGAAGTGTAAGACGCGTAATTGTGCCGTTGACATATGCCTCGAAAGTGATCCGTGCAGCAGAAAGAGAGAGTGGAGGAGCGGTTGAACGCGGAAGGTTAGTTCTAGGTCCTAGGATAGATGGCCAATGGAAAAAATTACACAAAGTTGAATGTAATAACACAACATTTTCGGAATGTATCTCAAAACTTTCAGCGCGTTTTTCTTGGAGTAAAAATTTTCAAGATATCCCTCCAAACGACTGTTGCAATTTTCACATATGCCGCTTATATGAATGTTGCATAGTACCATATTTTCGAAAGAGCTTTTCTTCGAGAAGCACTTATTTCGATATTCGTTTAAATATATATGCTTAGTAAGGCCTTAAGCACAACAATGCAGCCGCCCTCTCTAATCAGGTTTGCGAGTTAAAGTTGAAAACGCGGAAAGCGTGGAATGAATACACAGCACATAGAAATTTCCGGAACCAAATAAAGAAAAGATGAAAAATGAAAAGAAAGAAATCAAGTTGATAGAAAATAAAAAGTGAGCGTTTAAATGCATTCTTGACATGGAAATATTTATTTGCTTGCGTTTGGCTGGAGGATAATCGCATATGAAAAGTTCAGCTTTCGCCAAACAGCTGAATGCAAAAGTTAAACCTTCAAAACTTCAAGCTAAGCGATCACCTCTTTGAAAGGCACGACTGCCTTAAAGAGGATGAGTCCACATCTTTCCCTAGCTTCTTAAAGTCCATTCGTCGAAGTGTTGTTTGCATTCTTACGTTTAAGCAATCCTTCTCTTAGTTTAGCTCAGTCCTCAAAGTCGACCATCTGATGCTTGCTCTTACACCCATTTCGTTTAAACTTTACTTCCCTATTCAATCAAAAAACTTATTTATTTTTTACATTTACAAGTTTCATATATTGATTGTTTATATTTTTGTCGCCCTTCCCTTCCTATTGTTTTTCTTCAAAACATATGTTTGTCGTTTACATTTACTTCGATTTCACTATATTTATTTGTCAAATTATATGCTAAGGCAGGTGTGAGTGCCATTTTTCATTTTGTTAACCATTTGTGACCTAATAAACCGCGCAGGCAAAACTTTTTTTAATCAAGGGTTTATATATTTTGGAGATATTTCTAGCGAGTATTTGGTTATTACAATGCTAGTCTAGTGTGGGGTATAATTTTCAACTAATATCCCTAATAAAATATTCTTTTGAATCATTTACTCAAGCTCAACACAACAACAAAACAAAAGAACTTGCTACGAGGGTGACACAGTAAGGATTATCAATTGTTTGTGATAGAATTATGTTGACAGAATATCCGTACGGCCATGCGCATCACATAGGCTTACAATATACCCGGGGTTATGCAAATACACTTTTTTGCTCTCATATGAGTAAATTGCGTTTTAATTACCACGAGAGATTTTGTGGTCTTGCTTTTGGGATGGTAAATGAGGCCCACTGCAAAAATGTCGAAAAGCGAAAACGAAAAAATTCTTTATATATTTTCCTTGTTCTTCAATGAAATGCCAACTTAATTTATTTAACACTTTTTAATATACCTGATGCCTTTGTGTGTTGTGTGGTTTTATTAAAACCTTGATAAAACTTTTCGCTTGAAACATACACCTACATATAGTTACAATTAAAATATATTTTGTAAGTACATTGGATAACAGTTATAGTAAAAGTTGAATTTAATAACATCGAGGAGGGAAGAAGGGCTATATGTGCTAGATGCGATAACAAATACTAAGAACTCTCAACTTTCCAATAGTTAGGGTCCATAAGATAATCCCTGGAAAGTAATAAAATGTGAAGTAAGAAAATGTGTGTGTTTGTAAGGCAAACGATATAATGAAAGAAATCCATTCATTACCTCTTATCGGACATCACTTGCATAAATTGTGCCTTTAAATCACTTAGTTTACCGGCCGAACCGCCATATTCATCGGGTAATAGCTCGCGTGGTACGTGCTCATATAGGGTGTCGATGCTAGCCGTATGGAAGTAAATCTAAATTGATTGCATTAATTGATTGCAAATGCGATATAAATTTTATTTTTATTACCAATTTAAATACTTCCTTACTAATGAATGGACGCACAACGCTTATCAATCTGTCTAAATATGGCGGACAATTGATCATATGTATGCATTTAATGCGCACCGGGAAGGCTTGATGTAAAAATTTCATATAAATACGTAACGAAGACATTGAAAAACGTGCCGCATGCTTCAAACTGAAACCGGTCATATCGAATATTTGAACTTCACCCTCGGATAAGCTATCATCGTTTACCAGATCGGGCGAACAAAAACGGCAATCAGTTACCATAATATAGCCCTTGGTGTCCTCAGTGTGGTTCATCTGAAACATTGCAATTATTGTAGAAAAATAATAAGATAATAAATTTTTCTTTTCGCTTTCTGCCCAAGACCAGAACTTATCGTACGTATCCTACGCTTCTCTTCCTAATGCGTAGTATTTTTCATCTGTTTTATACACGTTTATTTCTCTCGGTACTGTACTTCTTCTTTCCATACCTTATTGCTATAGCCAGCGTTAAGCCTGTTTCAAATGTTTTTGACAATATTTCCAATATTGGGATGATACCAATGACCAAAATTTCGGATAAGCGCACATGTGTTGATCGAAAGCGAAATTCAATAAAGGAAATTTAGATAATCCCCGATTCCATGATAAAATGATAAACGCCGACAAATTAAAATATCAAAGGCAATTAGAGTCGATGTTCCGATATAATCTCAAAAAAATATTATATATATGGAGTATTATTATTAATGAAGGGTGCCCCCCTCCTACTACTACTACTAAAACTTTGCGTTCCATAAACAAAAGCAAACTATAGGGAATTCAGAAATAGTCCGGGCATGAAACAGTGAATGCGAATAAATATGAATATAGATGATGGGTGTGTTAGAGGATTCAGTTAAAGCCGAATATAATCTGAATATAATTTCTTTTTAATACCTTTTTCGGATCTGGATCATTTAGCCGGAAAAAAGTGATTTTATATTTCTCCTTCGTTAGGCCCGGTAAAGGCACCATATCTCTAAACAAAGAAAACAAAAAAAAAAAAGAGAACAAGGTAATACGGAAAATGCTTTAAAGAGAGAGACAATCAGTTCTTACGCATATTCAAATGTTTGGCGACTGCTTGCATCGTTGGGATCACGTTTCAAAAATATATGCGGATAACTGTTACGTATTAAGTAATTGATTTCAATCAGTTTTTGAGCATCTTCCACATTTTCATACATACACTGATAGAACCGTTTCAATAAAAGACGATCTGAAATTTCATTAATTATATTTTATTATAAAGGAAAAATGAATAAGAATATATATATATATATTTTTTTTTTTGGATTGTTGGGTGGAGATGGACTAAGCCAAGAATAAGAATAAAAAATTTAAAATACAAAACTAAAAGCAACGCAATCCATTTGTTGACTTCAGTACAGCTTTGCATTTGCATATTGCCAGCCTAGCAGTAAGCGCAGTACTTGAAGTTCATTTCGAAATCGAAGGATGTCAAAAGATATAGAGCAGGCATGGACAATCACCCGCCCGTGTTATCATCGAGCCCGGCCCGCTGCGTTTCCAATTTCTAATAATTCAATTTACTCGCCCATGGCAAGGCTGCAAAATTAATGGTGTATCTGGCTGTTTTTTTTTTTTTTTTTTTTTTTTTTTTTTTTTTTTTTTTTTTTTTTTGTTTATTCGTCATGCCATGAAATGGGCGAAATAAGAAGAAGGAAAACCGATATACCGGCATATTTCATAATACTTCCACATAATGGTGGGTCTGCGAGATTTATCTCACGCCGAACATAACTTTTTTACCTGTGTTTTTTTTTTTTTTGGCTAATATTTATCTAATTGTGTTCTAAAATTATATTTTTATAAAACAACAGGTTACTATGCTAATATGATCGTAAAAAGAGACCTAATCATTTAATGATTATATAAACAGAGACAACTAAAGCGCGAAATGTAATGTTAAGCCCAACGCACAACGCAAGTATTGTGCGTATCGCGCTTAGATCACAAGATGGTCCAACATTTTGTTTAAAATTTAGCTTAGGAGATTACTACGGAGTTTTTGTGTTTCTCTCTGTCTCTCACACACACTCTCTCTGTCTCAAACGTTTGCAAGGCAAGGGCATGTCCAATTCTGTGTTTTTACGCGCCATAGGTTACACCTAAGTATCTATGCACAAAAAAAAAAGCCAAACAGAAGCAAGTATAAGTTGGTTTTCTTTTCATCGTTCACTGAAGTATTTCAAACTTTATGTTCGTCAAACGCTATCTCAATAAAAATTTTCATATCAGCAAATATGATGAAATCTTTTACTATTAAATAATGTTACATTATAAGAATAATTTATCTTTATATATATATATATATATATATATATTTTTTTTTTACATATTTATGCAACTTTCCACCTTGCATATGAGTTATTGTGCTGTAAAACGTATTCTATTTCTTCGATTGGTGAACTTTTCGTCTTCAAGAATTCTTTTCAATCCTAAATAAACGACAAAAGAAACACAAGCCGTATTTTCTACCAACCTATTGTTTGATTTTTCTCATACATATAAACTTATATACATACCATAGCGCATATTCACTTGAAAACATCGAATTGTATAGGCTTCGGGTTTGCAGACGTTCGAGTGAATGCGATGTGATTTAAATAATACAAATGAAAGAGTAAGCAGTCAAATCGCTATTGTTGTTAATAAGAGAAACACAAAAAGTCCGTAATAATCTCCTCAGTTGGATTTTGAATAAAATATTGGACCATCTTGTTATTTAGTTGCTTCTGATATAACATTTATAAAATAAGGTTAGTCGCTAAAGGAAAAATTGAGAAGGAAAAGGAGGCAAAAAAAAAAAGGAAACTCCTATACAAATAAACAGGGGAATAATGTAAGGAACTCTAAAAGAGAAAAGGGAATCGATAATTTCGAGTGAATTTCAATTAGCTACGTATAAGGGTTAAGAGATATGAAAAATGTTTATTGTAGCTAGATGTGACCTGAAGAACAACATTGGCTATGTGTTCGTTAAAAACAAGTTTTTTTATTGAAACTAATGTCCAAATGTTAAGTATTCCGTTACTGCTGGATTTCATCATTGTTTATTTGCAGGGGAGAAAACAGAAATTTGTTTTCCTTTTTAGGAGATTTACTGTTTTTGGTAGTATTCAGAAAACTCGTTGAGTGGAGATTAGGTTAGGTCAGAAATATTTCTCGAGCATGAGCATACCAACAAAAGATTGCAGTGTCGCCGGCACACTGTTGGACATCTAAGCAATATAATAAGTGCAGGAGTTGTGTGTTTACCAGCAGGACAGTGACAGATAAATGAGAAGTCCTTTGATTTGTTCCAATAAAGAATTTACAATTTCTTATAAAACTCTCCTAATGATCGTGATCAATGCACCTTTTCGCCCACTTCCCGTATACTGAGAACTCATCAGAAAAGTCAACCTTTGTTGCATGACAAAATGTATAATTTTCGTGTGTTTTATAACGAATTGCAATAGAGAGCGAAGTGATTTAGGGTATTTAATAGTCGATGTTGCTCAACTATGATGTTTTAACTACTTTTTACCATCATATTGTGTCAACAACTATACAATTATTAACTCACTTATTTTTATTATTAAAAAAAACTATTATCAATTAATTAAGTTTGACATCTTCATTACTTAATTGAAACAATTACTCATTTAAAATGCCGTTAATGCCTTTAATGCGGCTAATGCCGGCTTTTGTATGCATTTCATGATTGCTAATAGATTCTGTTGAAAAGCAATTAAAATATTTGAGGTAAGATGTACTTTGTACGGCACGTAATTATCATTAGATTGACATTTTTTAAGGAAACATAATAATAATAATAATAAAAAAAAAAATTAAATTCTTTTAAAATTTTTTTTAAAAATTAATATGAAACGTAATATTTATTCTTGACGGAAAGAAAGTGAAAACGACCATTAGAAGCCCTACACCATTTCGCTTAATACAATTATTTGCTTGTTTTGTTAACAATACACTAAAAACTTACACATTATTCTGAGACAGAGGCATGCTTTTCATGAAAGCTCGCATAATGAAGAAATCTTTATATGCTCTCTCCAAAAAACAGACTTACGCTGTCCAACTTCGGTAAGGTTGATTTTTATGTCAATTTACTATTATGAACTAATTTTTATTATACATTTTCATTATATATAAAAATTCAGTTTTCGTAGGAACGGTTATGTGAAAAA